CCCTTAATATAGCAAGGAACAATTTAAAACAATTGTCTTAGGTATTGCAAAGTTCCTTAATTTCTTTCTTTCTTCCCTTATACACATATATTAGTAGGAGTCTTTTTTAAGCCTTTCCTGTATATCCAGAAAGATTCCACATCTGACAATATTCTCTTATGCCTCCTTCCTTCACTTCAATTTTTAGAAAATAAATAAAAAACCTTGCGGAAGAAATGGAAAGAATTTTGGAGTAAAAAAAAGAAGAAGATTGTACTTACCTATGGGTATTCTAGGTCCCAGACATTGAAATCCAAACGGAGCAAGTTTGGGGCAATGAGGAGGCGAGTCTCAGTACTACTTATCCCCACACCAGGCACTTGCAAACTTCTACCACAGCACAGCTATCTTCAGTTTTGCACATGCTGGTGTAAGTCCTCCATGTCAGAATACTAGTGAATAAGATCAAGCAATATTCTCATTGGGTTTTACAATTACAGCCTGTCTAGATTATCCCTAATTGGGGGAGACCCACAGCCTGGCTGATCTGCCATTATCTCTAGTTGTTTCTGCCAACACACCACTCAGAACACATGACTTTTCTCTCAATCACAGTTTTGTCACTTTAATTATTGATCCCATATTAAGTTTCCTCATTTCTTTTCCATTATCTATTTCATACCTTTTGTATAGAGATGTACTGGCCCCTGATTTAATACTCCAACACCAGACCCCATACACTTATCTGTAATACTGTTTATTTGGTATTCTTCATCCCTCAAAAATTATCTATACTATGTCCATTTACTCATTTTTTTTTTCATTTTCTGTTTAACCCACTCCAATTAGGCCTTCAAATACAGATCTCTTTTACCTCTCTTCATTTTAGTTTCATCTCAGGTGTCACTTGCTTTGAAAGGAATGGTCTTTCTACCATTTTTAAAGCAGCCCCCAATTATATTACCATGCCTGTTATCTTTGTAGCATCTATAATGTATTGATAGTATATTATTTATGTAATATATCTATTGTATTATTGTATTTATAATCTCCAGAGCGTATTACTATTTGGTATATTATTTATATTTTCTATGTGCTTGCTATGTTTTTCCCAAACATATAAAATGCACAAGTGCATCAATCTTGAAGTCTATCTGGACATAGCTGTGACTTCATACATACTTTATTGAATGAAGAAAATCTTCTGCCCAGAGTCTCAACTACTTTTCTCAACTCTGAGAACTTGTATAAAGATACTGAAATGATGCCGGCTAGACTGGAATAATTAGTACATTCCCTGGGCCTTAGTATTTTGAACTGTTGTCTGCTTTCATGAGGTAAGGGAATAAGTAGCAAATGGTCTCTGCTACTCTAGTTAATTTCTCTCCAATTCCATTCAGCTCAGTAGACTTCACTAGAAATCCCCAGGGCTAGATTATTAGTGATGAACCATGTGTAGATCACTCCAAATTAATTCATTCTCTTTTGGTCTTTGTATGCTGTGTTATTAAATTTACTGAACAAAATACCCTTTGAATGCCAGATTTTCCATACTGAAGAGAAAAGTTGTTGAAAAATTTACAAAGTCTGATTCTATTTATCCATGTATCTTTTGTTTAATCTATTCACTGTATCAGGATTTTGAAAATATGATTCTTCACAGAGAAAGTTCAGAGTCAAAATTTAAACCAGCTCTTCCCTGAATTACAGGAAGATACAAGTAAAGACATTTACATTAATGCAAGAAATGCTGATAATCATCTTGATCCAAGAAGGCTGAAGACTTTCTCGATATTTATTAAGAAAGACTAGGTTTTGGAAGTTATTTGATTCTAATGGATGCTTTTGAGACATGAAATATGATGTAAGACAGAATGGTAAAACTGAGATGAAGAGGGTCCTAATTAAGTAGCCAGAAGTAGAGAATACAACTTCGAAAAACAAAGGAATTGCAAAGAAAGGATTTTGAGAGTATTGAGTTAATATTGCAAATGAGGTAGAGAAATAGTTTGAAATCAGAGAAACATCTTGTACAATGATACTATCTTTTAGGATATTGTGATTATTTCTCTTTCAGAAAATGTACTTAATTGTTCTGAGGAAATAAGTATATCTACAATTGTACATTTGTTTGCTAGATTCCTTTAGAATGACAATAAACAGTGAAAAAAATTCTACTTTATTTATGGAATTTTCATAATGCCAAGGGAGCCAAGGTATTTCAGAGAATATAATTACAATCATCCTTAAAAATGGATGAACATTTAACAATTTAGGCAAAGGAGGTACAATTTCAAATTTAAGATAGTTTTCTTAATCACTTAAAATTATTAATGTGTTATTAATCCTTTGCTAGTACTGCTACTGCACTCTACTGTACTCTTAGCAGCCATTGAAAACTTCTGTGATCTTGAAAAACATTCAGATCTCTGAGATTTAAGGGAAAAAAGAAAAAAATAATAATGTTAAACTCTGCTTTATTTAAGAAAATAATATTGAATTCCTTGAGGAGAAAAAATAGCTTTCTTCAATAACATTTTGTTTGTTTTCATGACAACCTTTTCTTTTGGCCTTTTGTTATCCCATTTCCTTTTCAAAATTGTTAGAGGCATTTGATATATTTACTGAATCTCTGTTGCTTCACCAAAAAAAAAAAAAATTCAATCGTATTATGGAAAGACCATTTTCTTTGTAGTTGTGTTTTATTTCAGGACTTACTAAGTTCTCCTTTCTTTTCTAAGGCATGTTAATTTCACCTTCATGTCTAAATAGACTTTGTAGAAATAGAATGTTCTAGAAAAGAAGTTTGCTTTAATATGAGATTAAAGGGATTTGATGATCTGAAGAATCACAGCAATTGACTTGGAACTTTTCAGAGACCAACTCTACAAAGGGAAGGTCTCCTCCTCACCAGTGAGGCCCAATCTCCTGCCCTCTCCTGCACTTTCCTACATTCCTCCTACATACATGTTCTTCCCCTTCTCTAGCTCTATCTTGTTCTTTCCTTTAATTGTGATAGTTCCTAGAATTTCTTTTATAATCTTCTTTTTTAATTCTGCTTTTTAAAAATTGATATATATTAGTTGTATATATTTAGGGAGTACATGTGATATTTTGATACCTGTATTCAATGTGTAATGATCAAACCAGGGTACCTAGGATACCCATCACCTCAAACATTTATCTTTTCTGTGTTGTGAACTTTCCAACTCTTCTTTTCTAACTAATTTGAAATAAAGAATAATTATGTTAACTATGATTTTCCTACTATACTATCAAATACTAGAACTGATTGCTTCTAACTGTATTTTTGTAACCCTTAACTAACTTCTTTTCAGTCTATCCTCTTCCTATAATGTATTTTTTACTTTGTAATCATAACCACTGTCAGAACTGTAAAACCTCCACCAAAATCCCCAGGCAAAGTAAATTCCTAGACAGGTCATTCATTATCTGTCATAACACTTATGTTACATAACAGGTAATAGGTTTCACATCTACATGAAATTGGTGTCTAATTAAACACTGAAGCTTATGTCTAGTTTCAAGGAAATAGTAAATATTTACTTAAATAATAACTATAAAAACAGGATTGTTTATATTATGAAATAATTTGCTATTTACCATCTATTATTAGCACTTCTAATTTCTATAAAATTATGATTTAGCTTATTCAATGATTATTACATGAAGCAAAATATGCTTCAGTCATTAAAAATCAGAAACATAATATTTAACAGTATAGAATGCAATTTGAAATTATAGCTATACAATTAAAACAAGAAGGGAAAAAGTGAAATAAAATTTTTTTCTTTAATTTATCAATATAGTTCAACATTTTATTAAGAGTAGGATTCGGTCCATGAATACCATAACTTGAAAATTTTATTTACATATATTTTATATCACTTACTGATAATTTAAATTATTTATTAATATTGTTTTGGGGGGAAATGGGCATTTATTGAAACCTTATATGCTGAAATAAAAAAATATTGTTTTTATTTTTGTGTAACTTATTCTGCATTATTTATGTTGGCATATTAGTTAATTGATATAAAAAAGAAAAGCAATCTGAGAAAAACCTAACAAAAAAAACCTGAACAATTACTGCCCCATAGGAAATCACATTTTATAAAAATTAAAGTTTCTATCCCTCAGCTAATAAATATGTTAATCTTAAAATTGCATACTTGGCACATATTTAGTACTCAGTCATGTTCTTTGACTTTTCTTATCTATATTTCTAAGTTGTATAAGATAGTAAACAGTGTATTTCCTTTTTAAAGTATTAACGCTAGGGCCTAAATTTATACATTACCAAACAATACCCTGTCCACTTTTTCAAAACTGACTTCTGATATCATTATAACATCACATAGTGTCATCGTGTTGTTTTTGAGCTCATTTTTTCTAATAACTGATTGAAATACAAATAAGATAAATAACCGACAAAATCTTGAATAAAACTTTTAAATAGAGAGCTATATCTATATAACTCTATATAAACGTGTATTTTCTTTGCATAGATACTTGCAAATGCATTGGCATTTTTATTGAGACATATATACTGAACCACTTATAATCCTGCATTTTTAGAGAAAGATATAGAAAAATCTTGTGATACAGTTAGTCATTCTCTACCTACCCTGCAAAACAGGTAAAGCCTATTCCAAGAATAGCCTGGACTCACTTGAGTTGAGTTACAGATAACTGGAAGTAGAGCTGACAATCTGCAAATCCCACTAAAAGAAAAGCCTACTGTTTGGATTAAGCAAACTTGACTATACATATTGTAGATATAACAATCAAACAGCTCTAATAAACTACATTGATGAGAATGATTTGAGGGTTTTTGTAACATTTTAATTAACATAATAAAAATCAGTTGAGTACTCACTGACCATTATTCTTGGGTACATTGTGCTGTGTTTTTTTTAAAAGGTTTATTTTAATGATTCTTTTCTTCTCTCTCTCTCTGTCTCTCTCTCCTTTTTTTATTTTTATTTTTTATTTTTCAGATGACACGAGAACAATACATACTAGCAACACAACAGAATAACCTGCCAAGGACTGAGAATGCACAACTTTACCCTGTGGGAATTTATGGATGGCGAAAGAGGTGCTTATACTTCTTTGTCCTTCTGCTGTTGGTTACCATGATAGTTAACTTAGCCATGACAATATGGATATTGAAAGTTATGAATTTCACTGTGGTAAGTACCACCATGATTTTACATCTATTGCTTTTGGTTCAAAGACTGTCCAGCTCTGTTTTAATTTTTTTAAATTTTTAATCAAAAGTTATTCATCTTAGTCTTTATAAATATGTGTCTTTAAATTCCAAAGTCAGTCATTTTAATTTAAGCTTACATTCAGTGTGTTTAGTCATGATACACATATGATATCACTATCTGCCACTTGATTTGTATCATGAGACAGTATAACACATTGATTCACTGGAAAGTGATAAGGTTATAAGACATTTAACCAATAAGCATAAACTAGTGCTTGCGATACCCTTGGAATTTAAGTTGTAAGAATCCTAATTTAAGGATTCTGTTTTAAGAGATAATATTTCACATTAAACTAAACATTAATTAATATTATAAATCACAAGTGCCTTTGAACTACTCCATATAGAATATATGCCACTATATCTTCCTATATCTGCCTTCTATATAACATACCGCATGATTGAATCTAAACTTGGAATTTCTTCTGAGATGCATAGACCAATGCCTATAGTTGCCATCAGCTGGTGACTCCATTCTTTTAGAGCACATACCTGGTAAATAGAAGATAAGCCAGAAATAAAAATTTTAGGAAAATTAATAATGATAAAAATGATTAAATAATACATTGATGAATTTTGCTTCAGTTTATTGAATGCATACAATAACTATATAAGCTTGACTTAGGTGTGAAAAAATTGCTGTTTCAGCAAAGTCTGGTTTAGTTCATTTCATAGTTTCTGGCTAAATCCTTAAATTTCTTTGTTCAGCTTTTAAACAAGTCTGCCTTTGTTTGGAGTCCTCAGATGTCTTTACATACAAGCAGTTATCTTTTACTTGCTAACCAGACTACTATTATTCTTTAGACCTGTATATTCTCAGGGGTGAGTCTAAAGCTGGCTATTTAACTTCACTGATATTCCTATGCTGGACAGATATATATATTTTTAAACTCTGCTGGGTATTGATTTAGCAGGAATACTCTCTTTCTGACTTCACAAACACCTAATTCTAACTTGGAAACAGAATTTCAAAAGAGAAAATGAGCTCAGCATTTGTCCATATTGTAAGGCACCACAATCTTGGTGCATATGCTTATGAACAAAAATGAGCTGAGCAGCAGTTCCATTTTTGCTAATAACAGTGCAAATTTTGAAGAGTATTGATCAAAAAAGAAACTAAAGACAAGAGAAAGATGAGCAGGAGTCAATACATCCCTAGAGTTGGAAAATAATAACTGTGTCCTAAACACGGATATGTGTTCAGGGCATGGATCAAGGCATGTGGGTCACCTGGGGGTGGCTCGAAGTAGAGATGAGGGATAATAGGCAAATTATTGCTTATGAAATTCTCTAGTGATGCATCTGAACCCGTCATCTGTGTAAGAGTTGGCTTGGTTTCCCCTCTCATCTGGGATTATTTTGGCATAAATGTCACCAACTCTACCGCTGCTGTTTCTGTTCTTCTTAGCTCTACTTCTGCCTACTCTGACTAGTGTCTGGGCTTCATTAATGATTCGTTTATCATATGGTAGAGGCAATGTTCATGCTCCTGCAAACTCTTTTGTGCTGCCTTCAATATCAGCCAAACTATCAGTTGCTGATGTCAACATTTTCAACCTCATTTTTCTTAACTTAAAAAAAAAAATGGAAAAGAGATAAAGAATAGGGTTTTCTCCAAAGTTTGAAATGTCAGGTATATTATTTGATTTCCTTTCTCAAAAAGTGTCTTTTGAAAGATCCTGAATGAGAATTAGCTCTCTAGTTTCAGGGAGCCTTGATTCAGTCCAATGACCAGACCATGAGAATTTTCAGGTTCAAGCCATGTAAGCTTCTCTTGTGTATTTAAATTAATTAGGAAAACATACTTAAATGCATTGATTGTGTGGCTGCACGTATCACACTCCCGATACCTTGCCTCATGCTGACACCAAGCCTGGATAAGCCATTCATGGGACATAATTTAAACAATCACCTGTGTCTTCAGGATACTTACAGGCTTCAGGGTTTCCATCACCCATGAAGCTATCTAATTTGAACCTCAGCTGGTCAAAATGTAAATGCCAACCTAGTCTAAGGGATAATAAAAGGGGTTGTTTCCATAGGAGTCTTGGTATTTTTTTATTTTCATTTTTCTTTTTGAGTTATGCCTTTTGTTTAAATTATGATTTTGCCTTTTTAAAATCAAAAGAAATACTGGCCCTTCAGCCATGAAAGCTATTTGCATGTAGCTGAAGTAAATGTAAAGAAGTTATAATGATTCTATCAAGATAGTGTTTATAAGGTTAACACTTTCTCTATCGCACTGTAGTTATTTATAATTTATCAGAGAAATCAAGAATTCCTTAAGTTGATTTTAGCAGTCCTGAATGCTACATATTAAGTGGTATATACTTGAAAAGTATTAACTAATTTGTAATACTCTTACATTAGAGCAGTAAAAAAAAAAAAATCAATTTTATGTTTCCACTAGCACATTATGTTTGTATCTAACTCCACAGAGAATACTAAAGACTAGTTGCCACACCATTGCAAGAAGCAGAAAATAATGTGTAAATTGTTTGGGAAGTATTATTGATCTGGGCAAAATGTATTTCACTTTTATTATAACTGTTGCCATCCAAAACAGGAAATATGTGGCTGTTAACATCTTTTATTTGAGCAAACTGGACATGTTATTGTTAGCAAAATGTTGTATTTTCAGCATAGCAAGGATAGCTGTCAACCTGTTTTATGATGCTTGTTGGAGTCCATCATTATGGCCAATATTGTGCATGATCTGTATGGTTGAAATGATCTTATTTTGCAGAAATAATTTGTGTTTCTCATTTTGTGGAAAATAAAATTATTCTTATGCTTATTGAGATACCCAGTTGCAGAAAACCAAGAAAAAGAAAGTGAGTTTATACCACAGGGTGAAAGACTTCAGATAGATGTAAACAATAATATCCTGGCTATGAAAATTGATAAATGTAGAAGTGAGGTGAACAGGGAGATTGTGAAACTTCATTCTATCGAGATCAGTGTAACCCAATTACATGGTTTTTAGTCACTGTTGTTTGGTTGATTGCTATAATATATTTGTGGTTCAACATAAATGGGTGACTTTAGCAGGTCTATCAAATCCAGCCATTCTGCTGAGGTAATATTCTATGTTCAAGTTTCATTCTAAGTAAATTAGCTCCATATTTACAAATTGTAAATTAATACAATAATAAAGTATTTCTTTTAAGAATAATAGTGTCAACTAAAAGTTGGTGGCATCCAATTGCAATGTAGTTCTGTTAGGTATGCTATCTAGCCAGCAAAACAAAGAATCAAAACATAAATAGCATTTGTTAAGCAAAGGAGGAGAGCAAAGTCAGGAACGTTCTTATTGAGAAGTCAAGAAAACCCAGATGTGTATAATAATTGAAACAATTAGTTTATTGAATAAATTGGAGAAAAAATTCTTAGAGGCTTGTATGAACATTGTGATGAATGTTTTCTGAAAAGAAATCCCAAGGAAAGAAGGATTGAATATCATCATCATTTAGGATTGACAAGGAACTCGGAAATTTTAGTTCAACCATCCATATATTGCTAGAGGTCACTTTCCAGTGTTCCCTCCATTTGGTCACTTAGCATCTGCTTAAACCCTCCTTTCAAACTATCCAATTAAATCACAGTGTAGTTTGTTATTATTAAATACCTTAATATTTTGTTACAGCCTCCTTTTAAAAGGTGGCATTCTAGTTCTGTTATTTCAATAAAACAGGATTTTTTAAAAAATTAACTTATCAAGACCACTATCTGTTCTCATATACCACACACACACACACACACACACACACACACACAGGTCCTTGATCACATTTTCAATGTTTAAAAATCAGAGTAAGGGAGATCCTTATGCAATCATTTTTATTTATTTCATTGCCACCTGATTTTCTTCATTTCAAATATTAAGTATATTGCACATCCATAATTATATGTTTACAAAAAGATCAGTCCTTTCAAGATATCTTTATCTTTGTATAGGCAAGAGAGCCATTTCAATTCTTTCTATCATATTTTAAGTGTACCTTCTAAAATTGAGAGTATACGTTTTACTATGTTTAGTTTTCTTTATTTCTTAAAGCTAAAATTTTTAAAACTTTTTTTGTTGAAATATAAAAATACACATTTTTGAGTATTAAATCCTGTGTTCTTTCTAATATCTTGTTTAATGAAATATCACATATTCTTATGTTATTCTTGTGACTAATTCTTTTTTTTATCTTCATAATTAATCCAGTTGCTTTTCATAGCCATTATTACTCTACTGAAGATGTCTACAGTACCTTTGGAAAATTCTGTCATTAGTCACTGTGCTTTCCAAAGATTAGTTACTACCACAGGTTTCTTCATTTCACTCTCTAGTAGGGTAATTTTTGAATGAACTTTTTCATCCCCATGTACCCAGCCAGTTCTTATATTTATCAAAACTGTGTCCTCAACTCATGTACATTTTATTTACTGCCTAGAATCTATTGATATGGATAGACATATGCAAAGTTTAAATTTGAAATAAACACAGGCTTCATTGGTTTTTAATTGTTTTTCTCCTTTTCTTAGCATGTTCATCACAAAACAGTTTCTTTTTACTTGACCTTGTTCATTGCCTATTATATTTCTACTCCCCCAGAGAGAATGTAAGCTCTACAGGACCAGGATTTTTGACACTTTTTCTATTTCTGTATTCTCAATGCAGAAAACAATGCCTACCAGATAATCAGCCCTTAATGAATAATTGCAGCATAAATATCCATCATTGACATTACTTGTATTGAAAGCCAGCTAATTTTTCATCTCACTATGCTGTACGTCCTTCCAAAGAACCATCTTAAACTGAGAAGAATTGGTGCAAGGGCTACCAGTGACCCCATTGCTATTTAAGGCCTCATAGCACAGAAGATGCTTCCTTGGTCTATGCAGTGGTATTTATTAACTGTTTTTGTAGGC